TACTATAGGTGGTAACCACCACCTGAGCCCCTCTTGGGTTGCCTCATCCTATAAGTGTCCTCACCTCCCTGGGCCACATACACACAGCCTGTAAATATGCTGGCTGGTTAGCCAGATATGAAGACCACTGGGTCCATTTGTGGCAGTCCATATGCAGCCTTTCTGAGCCTTGGAGCCCTTGAAGGCTAGCTCCTGTGGCTCACCCACCAATAGCTACATTGCCTTGACAGGGGACAGTTGCCTGCATAGACAATACCATACTTGAGGCTTGCCTATGGCTATGGGGGAGGGACTGGCCTGGGCCAGTGAGGTCTGTTGATCATGGGTGGGAGATAGGAGGCTACAGTGAGAGAATTGGGCAGTAAGAACTTTATTGTTTCTTTTGGTTTATTGCAGTGCTGGAGGTGGGACCAAGAGGCCTTGCACATACATGATAAGCAAGCGCTCTGCCCACCAAGCTTACATCCCAGACCTTCCCAAAGAAGGCTTTTGAAAATCATTGGGGAGCATGGTGCAGCTTGTTGATTGGTTGCATTAAAGGACAGGCTTGAGAGTAGCTGTAACCTTTAGAAAATGCTGGCTCTGCTGGCTGTGATGTCAGAAGCCCTCAGCTCAGTCATCCTTGACCCCATCCATATCCTGCTGCAGCCTGCAACCAAGTGTCCCTCAGCCACAGATGCTGTGGTCACCTGCCTGGCGCCAAGTTGCAGAAGGACACCCAGAGCAACTGGCAAGGCCTTCTCATAATTAGGCGCTCTGGTGTGCTCAAGGCCTATATACAGAGCACTTTTATATCCAGCCCCGGGAGGGGCGTAGATGCAGGCCAAAGTCCCTACCCTGGACCCACTCAGTTGATCCAGAAGCACCTTGCCTTGGGCCAGTGGGGCAGTAGGCAACAAATATTCTTGCCCTAGGCAGGTCCTGCCCCAGGAGGTAGCACCAGCTCCAGGGCAAGGAGGGAGCCTAGCCTTTTCCGGGCTTAGACTGCACTACAGGGGATTCAGGGTCCCTGTCAGCACTGCAGGCTCCCTCATGCCCAGCTGTCAGGTGGGGAAGAATTTCTCTGTTGAGGTAAAAGTCTTTAAGTAAAATGAATTGTTTAAAAGCACATTTAAGTGCCATTGAGCTTATTGGGTGTTGTGTAACTGTGACCTTTAGCTCCAAAAGTTTTTAATCACCCCAAAGGAAACCCCATGTTGGGGAAGCACTAGCCCCTCATTTCTTCCTTCGTGCAGCCCTCGCAGCTACTGGTGTCCCCATCCACCTTTCGTGTATGTCTTTCTCCACTGAACACAGTATTTCTGACAGTGTTCTTGGTCATAGCAAGTCTAGACTTTCTCTCTGTGCTTAGATAACGGATTATCTTCTGTAGCTTGTTTATTCATTCGTCAGTTGATGAACGTTTCTGTTGTGTCCAGTTTTGTATGTGTGTGTGTATGTGAGTGTGTTTTCTCTAACTTCTAACTTCTGATTCACCTGCCTCCACCTCTCAAGGGCTAGGATTACAGGTGTGCAGCACAACCCCTGTTTCTGAGGTGGTGGGATGAAACCCAGGGCTTCCAATGTGCTACACTCTGCAATTCTGTTCCAGTCCCAGCCTGTACTTTTCTTTCTTCGAAGCAGGATCTCCCTATGTGGCCCAGGTTTGCCCTGAACTCCTGGGCTGAGCTCCAATGATCCTCTGCTCTCAGGCCTCCTGGCTGACTGGGCTGCTGGATATGGTCCCCGTGCCTGGTTCTCTACCTGATCGTTGCCATACAAGTGTAGGTCTCTCAGTTCTTAGGAGTGGAATTGCTGTCTAGTGGAAATACAACATTGAACTTTCTGAGGAATTTCCAAAATGCTTTCCATAGCCAGATATGGTGGCATATACCTTTAAATCCCCCCTCCCCTAAATTCAGGAGGCAGAGGCAAGTGAATCTCTGTGAGGTCAGGCTGGTCTACTTAGTGTGTTCCATTCCAGCTTAGGCTACAAATGAGACTCTGTCTCAAAACAATAAAAACACCTACAGCAAACCCTGTTTTACACTACTAGTGATGTGTGAAAGACTAAATTCCTCCATATATCTCCAGTCACTTGTCGCATGTCACCTTTCTTTATTCTAGACACTGTCATGTGTATGAAGTAGCATCTTATAGTAAGTTTGGAGTGTTTGTTTTGTTTTGTTTGGTTGTGTTGTGTTTGGTTTGTTTGGTTGTTGCTTTGCTGGGGTGCAGCAAATGCTTGTGCTTCTAATGCTTTGCCCCTTAGCCACATCCCAGCCTTGGGTTTTAGGTCAGGATTTCACTGTGTAGCTCAGGCTGAACTAGAACTTGGTTTTTGCAGACGGGGTCTCTTTGTAGCCCCAGCTGGCCTGGAACTCACTATGTAAATCAGGCTGGCCTCAGTCTCACAAAGCTCCACCTGCCGTTGCCTCCTGGGTACTGGGATTAAAGGCTTGTGCCACTATGCCTGGCTTCACTTACCCACATCTTTTTTTGTCTTGGATTTTGTCTGGTTTGAGATTGTAGGGGAACCTGTTAATGCTGTCACCATTGCTGTGAATTCCTAAGACCAATTGCCCCGCTGTCTGGAAAACTGTTTCCTTGTGGTCATCATCACTTCTGGCTCTTAACAATCTTTATCCCCCTCTTCTGTAGTGATTCTTGAGCCTTAGTGGGGCAGAGGTTTGATATGTGTGTCCTATAAGATAAGCACTCTGCAGTCTGTTATTCTCTGCATGTGGACCCGTTGTGGATATCTGTGAATTACAATTTTTTAATTTTAAATTTCAGATTTTGAAACAGGGTCTCCCTGTAGCCCCAGCTGGTCTAGAACTCACTGTGTAGACCAGGCTCTCCTCAAATTTACAGAACTCCACCTGTTTCTGCCTCCCAATCTGCTGGGATTAAAGGCATGCACCACCACACCTGGCAAATAAAAATTTAAATTATAATTTATCATTTACAATGATCTTAGTTTCATAGCTAGGAATCTATTGCCAGACTTGAAAGTCACAAAAGATTTATACCATGTTTTCTTCTAAGAGACTTCTAGTTTTTTTTTTTTTTAATTACAATTTATTTGTGTGTGTATATGTACATGAGACAACATGTGTGGAGGTCAGAGAACAACTTTAGAGAATTGTTTCTCTCCTTCCAGCATGGGTATACTGGGGATTGAACTCAGGTCATCAGGTTTGGCTGCCAGCACCTTTACCTGCTGAACCACTTACCAGCCCAACTCTTCTAGTTTGAACTGTGTTTGGATCACTGATTCATTTTGAGTCAGTTCTATGGTGTGAGGCTGGGATCTAGTTGTAGTCTTCCAAGTGAATGTCCAGCCGTCTCAGGATCCCTTGCTGGAGTCTGTTGTTTCTCCATCGAAAGTTTTGGCACTTTGTGGAAAGACAGTTGACCTTTATCTAAGACCTTTATCCAGACTTCTTTCTGGACTCTGGTTCTGTTCTGACCCATATCTGTTCTTTCTTTTGTTAGTACTACAGTGTGATAACTGAATCTTCCTTGACACTTTTTGGAATGTGTGACTCCTCCAACTTTTTTTTTTTTAATACTTTATTTTATGTGTATGAGTATATTGCCTGTGTGTAGGTAAGTGTACGTGTGTCATGCAGTGCCTGTGGAGGACAGAAGAGCCTGTCTGATCCCCTGGAACTGGAGTTACGGACAGTTGTTAGCTGCCATGTGGGTGCTGGGAATCAAACCTGGGTCCTCTGCAAGAGCAGTCAGTGCTCTTAACTGCTGAGCCACCTCTCCAGCCCCAATAAACTATTTTTTTTTTTTAAAGAAAAGTGTGGGGGAAACTAGACATAGTGGCACATGCCTTTAATTCTAGCACTCTGGGAGGCAGAGGCAGGCAGATTGCTGTGAGTTCAAGGCCAGCCTGGTCTACATAGTGAGTTCTAGGCCAGCTGGAGCTACGCGGAGACCCTGGGTCAAAAAAGGAGGGGTGAGGAGAATATTTTTGGAAGCTCAGAATGCCAGTGTCTCATTTCACACTGTTCATCTGCAGCCCCTACTTGAACTTCTGTCTATTGCTGGACCCCAGGCTGGGGTCTGCTGAACCCTCACTGTTGCCTTTCCCGAATCTCCTTCACTTTAGAGTAGCTCTCAGTACTTTATATCTCTTACCTGACTATGGCCATTTGAGGGGACCTGACTGTCTTGCATCTACAGGTGTCTGCTGTCCCTTTATGATGAGCTGAGGTCAAAAGAGTGCTAAACAGGGCCCGGGAGAAGGTTCATTGGGGAAAAGTGCTTACTGCATATGTCTGATGATCAGTGTTTGATTCCTGAAACCCATGTGGGAGGAGAACCAACTCCTCAAAATTGTCCTCTGACTTCCACATAAGCACTGTGGAATACACATGCTCATACTAATACCCCAATAATAATAAATTTAAAAATGAGAGAGTATAACACAGATGCAGTGGCGTAGTACAGCAGTGCCAGATTGCTTTGTCCTTTTTCTGGGGACATTAGGCTAAGGTTTGGTGTGCCAGGCTCTTGTTGAATGAATGAATAGTAATAGTGATTGTGGTATGCATAGGGCCACAGTAGGTGCTGGACCTTACAACTGGGCACACACAGTAGCTCACTAGGTCCCTGAACAAATGTCCCCTCTTTCTATAGGACCTAGGTACTGGGCTCAATAGCCCCCTTTTACCCTTTAGTTGCCTGCGTCTCCCCAAGGATGGCCCAGCCCATGTTCTTACCACCTGTCCTAGTCCACCCTGGGTCAGGATGTCTCCAGGTTTCCACATCTTTCCCCTGCATACATGCTTCTCCTCACCTACTGTACCTGAGGACCCTGACCACGTCCCTGTAGCCTGCTTGGCCCCTACTGACACAAGGCAGTCTGAGTGCCCCACAATCACTACTCCCAAAGAACAATCTAGGAGTGCCAAAAGGACAGAAGGGAAGGGCAACAGGGACAAATTTAACCATTGGCAGTCACCATGGTACTGCCACTTAGGCCTGCCTCCCTGTCTCTCTTCCAGATGAAGATGTGTGTGTGTTCAAGTGCTCAGTGTCCAGAGAGACGGAGTGCAGCCGCGTGGGCAGACAGTCCTTCATCATCACCCTTGGCTGCAACAGCGTCCTCATCCAGTTTGCTACACCCAATGGTATGTGTGTTGGTTCCATGACAAATGGACAGGTGGATAGGTGGGGTTCTGGAGTCTGGGGAATGTCGGCCAGTCCCTTTGGAAAATCATCTGCCAGCATCATGAATAATTGTCCCATGAGGCTGGGGAGATGACTCAGTCACTAAAGTGTTTACCACACAAGCATGAGGACCTGAGTTTGATCCCCAGCACCCACATAAAAAGCCAGATGTGTGGGGCTGGAGAGATGGCTCAGCAGTTAAAGAACACTGGTTGTTTTTGCAGAAGACCCGGGTTTGAATCCCAGCATCCACATGGTAGCTAACAACTGTCGTAACTCCAGTTCCAGGGGATCTGACAGCCTCTTCTGTCCTCTGCGGGCATTGCACGACAGGGGTGCACTTACTTACATGCAGGCATAACACTCATACACATTTAAAAAAAAAAAAGCCAGATGTGGTGATACACTTGTAATCCCAGGGCTAGAGAGGTGCATACAGGCAAATTCCTGGGTCTAATAGGCTCGCTAGCATAGCATTGTGGAAAAGTTCCAGGCCAATGAGAAACCCTGCCTAAAAAAACATGGTGGTCCAAGTGTGGGCATATGGTTTTAAGATGGATCTCGGTGAGATTGAGGCCAGCATGGTCTACATAGCAAGTTCTAAGCCAGCTGGGGCTACAGGGAGACCCTGTCTCAAACCAAAACAAAACCAAACCAAAAAGGCAAAGTGGAAGACTCCTGAGGAGTGACACCCAAGGCTGACATCTTTCCTCCTTATGCACATGCACATACATGCACTGTGTGTTCATATACACACGGGATAGTATTCGAGCTAGATGCTTAATGCCTTGGTATGCACGCGTAGCACTTGCAGTCCCAGGTACTGAGGTGGTGGAGGCAGAAAAATTGCTTGAGCCCAGGAGTTCTAGACCAGCCTGGGCAACAATGCAAGATCCCTGTTAAACCAACAAATAAAAAACACAGTCTCAACTGGGCATGGTGGTGTGTATCCATGTTTCCAGCCCCTGAGAAGGCTAAGACAGGAGAGTCACTTAAGTCCTTGAATTTGAAGCAGCATAGCAAGATTGGGTAGCATAGCAAGACCTTTGCCCCTCAAAAAACGAAAAGAAAATGACAGTCCTGGGAGGACGTGTATCTTCTACATGTACTCACCGTTTTGAATAAATGCTCTGCTGCAGGCCAGCTGTGATGGTGCACACCTTTAATCCCAGCACTAGTGAGACAGAAGTAGGCAGATCTCTGTAAGTTTGAGGCCAGCCTGGTCTACATAGTTGAGTTCTAGGCCAGTGAGGGATACATAGTGGGATCCTACCTCAAAACAAATAAAACAACAACAACAAACACAAAAACTCTGTCCTGACCCTCCCTCACTGGCTGCTTTGGGTCCCCAGGGCCTCAATTCTTATGTATCCTCCAAAGCCATCCTGACCCTCTTGTCATACCCAGGTAACCACCCCTCTGCTAAAGATCTTCAGACCTCTGGGGCTGGAGAGATGGCTCAGCGGTTAAGAGCACTGACTGCTCTTGCAGAGGACCACGGTTAGATTCCCAGCACCCACATGGTGGCTACGAACCGTCCTTAACTCCAGTTCCAGGGGAATCTGAAGCCGTCTTCTGACCTCCACGGCATTGCAAGACACGGGTGCACTCACATATATGCAGGCAATACACTCATACACATAATATAAAAATAATGAATATGGGGGCTGGAGAGATGGCTCAGTGGTTAAGAACACTGTTCTTGCAGAAGACCCAGGTTCGAATCCCAGCACCCACATGGCAGCTAACAACTTTGCATAACTCCAGTTCCAGGGGATCCAACAGCCTCTTCTGTCCTCTGAGGGCATTGCATGACACGGATGCACTTACCTACATACATGCATTAGACTCATACACATAAAATAAAAATTAATAAATAGGGCCAGGCGTGGTGGCGCACGCCTTTGATCCCAGCACTCGGGAGGCAGAGACAGGCGGATCTCTGTGAGTTCAAGGCCAGCCTAGTCTACATAGTGAGTTTCAGGACAGCTGGGGCTACAGGGAGACCCTGTCTCAGACCAAAAAAATAAAAAATAAAAATAAATAAATAAATAAAATAGATAAATAAATATTTTTTGAAAAACAGACCCCACTTTTCCTTCCTCCTTTCCTCTCCTTTCTTCTCCACTCTGTCCTTCCTTCCCTCTCCCCTTCTCATTTCCCTTTCCTGTAATCTCAGCACTTGGAAAGTAGATGCATGAGGCTCAGGAACTCAAGGTCACCCTCAGCTTTGTAGCAAGTTTGGAGCCAGCCTGGGTTAAATGAGACCCTGTCCCAAAAATTGAAGATTTTTTTTTTTTTTTTGGCAACTGGGATGTAACTCAGTTGGTAAAGCACTTGCCTAGCATGCAATAATTCATGGGTTTCATTTCCAGCACTGTATAAACCAGATGCAGGAAGCATATTTAATCCTAGTCGGAGGTAGAGGCAGTAGGATCAGGAGGTTCAAGGTCCTCTTGGCTTCATAGTGAATTCCAGGCTAGCCGGGGCTTTATGAAACCCTGTCTCAATGAAAATATTACTTGGAGCCGGGCACATGGCTGTAATCCCAGCACTCAGGAGGCAGGAGCAGGTGGATCTCTGCCAGCTTGGTCTCCATCATGAATCCAAGTCAGCTGTGGCTTCCAAAAGACCAAAAAAAGAAAAAGAAAATATTACTTGGAGTTGCGACTGACAGACTGATTTGTAGGTATTTATGCGGTGAGCTGAGAACTCTTGTTTTCAATGTAGGAAAAGCATAGCACGTGGAGTGCCTGGCCCACTTCATTTCAGGCATCTGAGGAGTGTCTTGCATGGATTCCTCAGGAATGAGAGGGAACTGCCAATGAGAGGGGACTATCGTGATCCACTTGTTAAATTTTTGTGTGTGCTCATGTTCCTGTGTGCGAGCACGGGTGGGGCATGCCATGCCATGCTGTAGCACCTGTGTGGAGGTAAGAGGACCTTGTTGATATCTGTATTCACCTTCCACTCTGTCTCTTACTGTCCAGTACTGTGTATGCCAGGCTACCTGACCCACAAGAGCATCTATGGATTCTCCTGTCTGTGTCAGGTGTGACAGGCAATGCTGCTGTGTCAGGTTTTTTTTTTTTTGTTTTTTTTTATAAAGACAGCTTCCTTTTTTTAATTTATTTATTATTTTTATTTTTTATTTTTTTGTTCTTTTTGAGACAGGGTCTCGCTGTAGCCCCAGCTGTCCTGGAACTCACTATGTAGACCAGGCTGGCCTTGAACTCACAGAGATCCATCTGCCTCTGCCTCCCGAGTGCTGGGATTAAAGGCGTGCGCCACCACGCCCGGCAAGTAACTTATTTTTTAGAAAGTATATTATTCTTTCAGACTTTCATACATTTGTAAAATGTCTTATATTCACCCAGATCATCCCCCAACTCCTTACAGATTCATCTCCCATCTCTCTACTCCCTAACTTCTAGTCCTCTTTTAAAAAATTTTGTGTGTGTGTGTGTGGTGTATGTAATGTTTGTGGACGATTGTGGAGGTCAAAAAAAGCAGAGTTATAGGCAGTTGTGAGCTGGTGGGTGTGGGTATGGGTGCTAGTAACTGAGCTCAGGTCCTCTGGAAGAACAGGAAACCTGCTGAGCATCCTTCCAGCCCCTAGGCCTCTTTTTTTAAAAAAATATATCTTATTTGCTATTTTTATGTGTATGAGAATATTGCCTGCAAGTATGTAAGTGCGCTTGTGTTGTGTAATGACCACTGAACCACCTCTCCAGCTTCCCTTTTTTTTTTAGTACCCCGTTGAGACCAATTTCTGCTACCTATATACTCTTGAGTATGTGGTCATCCACTTGAGGTGGGGACCCACCAGGGTCCATACCCTTAAAGAAATCTGATCCTGGGCTGGAGAAATGGCTCAGCGGTTAAGAGCACTGACTGCTCTTGCAAAGGACCCAGGTTCAATTCCCAGAACCCACATGGCAGCTACGAACCGTCCTTAACTCCAGTTCCAGGGGAATCCGAAGCCTTCTTCTGACCTCTGAGGCATTGCACGATACGGGTGACAGGTGTACTCACATACATGCAGGAAATACACTCATACACATAAAATTAAAATAATAAAATATTGCTGGGTGTGGTGGCGCATGCCTTTAATCCCAGCACTTGGGAGGCACAGGCAGGCAGCTCTTTGTGAGTTCGAGGCCAGCCTGGTCTACATAGTGAGTTCCAGGACAGCTGGGGCTATAGGGAGACCCTGTCTCAAAAAGACAAATTCAAAAAAAAAAAAAAAAAAAAAAAAAAAAAAAAAAAAAAAAAAGGAAAGAAATCTGATTTCACCCCCCTCCCCCAAACCATCTGTCCCCAGCTCCTCAGCTAGGGTGGAACTGATGAGCTCTCCCGCCTCCATGCTGGAATGTTTACTGACTTCCAGTAACTTCTGTGTGAATCAAAGAACGTAATAGCACTACATCTCCGATGATGCCCTGTGGCTCCTGTGTGCTGCCCTGGATCCATGGAACTAGCCCACTGTCTTAGACCCTAGGGTGGTCTCTTGTGTCCACTGCCATTTTCAGAGGCCACTGCAAACTCTGGGTGAGTGTGGGTCTGTCTGATCGCTGGAAGACTGGCACCCAAACAGTGGCCTTTGTCCCTCACACCTTGCCAAGCTGATCTGTGGGAGGAAGTGCCCAGGCCTCTCCTCAACACATAGCACTCCACAGTGGGGGAACCCCGATATATACTTGTGGTGGTTACAGAGTGGCAGTCTTAGCTTCCCTCCTGTCCTTTTCTATTGTCTTGGGGGAAAAGAAGTCACCAGGTCTCATAGGCTTAAGACAAGTCAGTGTGGGTGGGCAGGCCTCAAGAGGCACTCAGGCCCCTCTGGATGCTCTCAGAGGACTGCAGTACTGGCTTCCTGGGGTGGTCATGGTCATGGTCCCCGAGGGAGACTGTGTCAGTGACCCAGCTCCCCTGTTCCAGATTTCTGTTCTTTCTACAACATCCTGAAAACCTGCCGGGGCCATACACTGGAGCGCTCTGTGTTCAGCGAGAGGACAGAGGAGTCCTCAGCCGTGCAATATTTTCAGGTGGGTTGTTGCCTGCCTTGGGCCGGGCTACTGCCTGGTCTGTCCCTCCCTTTCCCAGGAAAGTCATGCAGCATAGGGTAGGTCCACATGCGTGGCCCATCCTAGCTCTGTACTTTACTAGCTGCATAGCCTCGGGCAGGTGTCTTCTGCTTGCTGGGCCTCAGTTTCCTCATCTGTGAGGTGTGAGTGGGTTTCTTGACACCCAGGTCCCCAGGTGTTTAGCATAATGACAGAATAATAGCAGTGTCCTAAACCCTTGGTGGGTGTCGGGCACTGCCCAGAAGCACCTGAACCTTCCCAACAACTCAAGGAAGTAAGTGCTGTTATTGTCCCCATTTTACAGATAAGAAAACTGAGGCTCAGAGAGGTTAAGTGACTTGCTCCAAGTCACACAGCTTTTATGCAACAGAGCCACGATGGGAAAGCCAGGTCTGCCTGATGTCAAAGCCTATGGCCCTGCCAGGTGCCACACTGCCTCCTGACCGGCCTGTCTTACAGAGAGATACTGCACCTCATCTGCCTGGCACTCTGAGCTTTGGGGTTTTGTTCCATCTGTTCCTCTTCTTCTTTGGGGCCCTAAGATGGGACACTTGGCCCCTGGATGTTAGAACCCCACCCATGGCAGATTTTGTGGTCTCCTGGGTGGCCTCCAGGTCCAAGTGGCATCTTGATGGCAGTGGCAGTGTCCCTCTCAGGGACTGCCATCAGGCCCCTGCTTCCCTTTCTGGAGTAGCTGACAGTCGGCCGTGGGGTTTGGGCCTGTAGAGGGTGTTTGGCCTCAAGAGGGAGGTTTATGCCATCAGCTTGTCCATCACATGGCCTGTCAGCTAGGCCATCTGTCCTGCTGCATGCCATGTGCTATTGGTGTGTTTCTATTCCAGTTCTATGGCTACCTGTCCCAGCAGCAGAACATGATGCAGGACTATGTTCGGACAGGCACCTACCAGCGCGCCATCCTGCAGAACCACACTGACTTCAAGGACAAGGTGAGTCCCTGCCTAGGAGGCAGGGCCAGGCTGCAGACTGCTTGAACAGGGCGAGAGGTGCCTCCCTCACCCTGCAGGCCCACCATCAGGCTCTGGGTCTACTTCCCCATTCCATTGCCTGTGTTCCTTGTTTCTTTCTATTACGTTGTTCTGAGACAGGGTCTCACTATTCAGCAATGCTTGCCCTTTTTTAAAAAAATTTTTGTTTTATGTGTCTAAGTGTTTTGCCTGCATGTATGCATGTGCACACCATGCATACAATACTCCTGGAGGTCAGAAGAGGGTGTCAGAGCCCCTGGAACTAGAATTACAGATGGTTGTTAGCTGCATGTGAGTGCTGGGAACAACGTGGATCTGCTGTAAGAGCAACTGGTGCTCTTAAGCTCTTAACTGCTGAGCCAGCTCTCCAGCCCGCTTTTCCCCTTTCTTCAGATGTCTTTCAATGTTCTGTTTTCTCCCTTGTCTGTACTGGGATATGGTGTACAAATACAAGTTTTATATCAAGCTTCACTCTAATTCCAGGGCTTGGAAGGTGAAGACAAGAGGGTCATCCTCAGCTTCCTAGAGAGTTTGAGGCCAGTCTTGGCTACATGAGACCCTGTCTCACCCACCACCTCCTGCATTAAAAAACTATAAGATTTGGGGTGTATAGCTCAGTGGCAGTGGTTTTGCCTAGCATGAAGAAGACCCTGAGTTCCATTCTAGCACTGAAAAACAAAGGGGTGGCAGTACATACATAGAAGGTGGTATTTGGTGTGTGTGGGGTGTGTGTGTGTGTGTGGTGTGAGTGTGTGTGTGTGTGTGTGAGAGAGAGAGAGAGAGAGAGAGAGAGAGAGAGAGAGAGAGAGATGACCAAATTAACAACCCTCACCTAGTCATAGTAGTAGTGTGTAGGAAAACAGTTTTCCCCCCTGTGCTCACACTGTTCAACACAGCTTCCTGAGGGACAGGTTTGGCACCCCTAACCCCTAGCAGTTCTGCAGCTGCCAGCCCTAGCTGAGAGTCTTCTGACCCATTTCAGTTCTAACCACCTATCTGGAGAAAGGGTAGCTCGTAGAGACTGTGGACTTTTCCCTATAGAGCCCTCCCTAACCTTAGATACCAGGGACTGGTCCCAGCTACCTTGCCTAGGCCTTCTGACAGACAGGCTCTATATTGGGACACCTCCAAAAGCAATGTGCCTAAGCTACACACAGCTCAGGGAAGCATGCTTGCAGGCGTCTCAGAAAGGATTGTGAAGCATGAAGGTGAAGACATGCACTGGCTGGGAGGGACAGGACCTACCTCTGAGTCTGTTTCCGTGAGCTCCCCAGTTCTCTATGTCCAAGCTATTGAACTGTCATCTGGTGTTTTCCAGGCACCACTGCAGATGGCATGCTAATCAGCTGGCTGAGGAAGCCCATCGAGGCCATCCACATGTACCTTGGTCTCTCTGGGTAGCATTCTTCCTTCAGGAACAGGGTAGGGGCAGGACTCTGGAGAAAGGACTTTATTTTGTTAAGGGCCTTGCCTTTCTTTCTGAGCTATATTCAATCACTCAATCTTCCTGCCTCAGTCTCTTTATGACTCTATGCCATTGTTTCTGGCTCTGCTTCTAGCCTCAGCCCCATTTTTTTTTATAGATGCAATGGTATACATTTACAGTCCCAGCATTTGAGAGGCCTCTGAACAGTAGTGTCAGGAGTGCAAGGCCTTCCTGGACTAAATGCAACTCGAAACAAGCAAAGTGTGAATGGTTGGTGTGGCAGGCAGAGTTCTTGAATTCTAAGGCCAGCCTAGTGTACATACCATTTCCAGAGAGGTAGAAAGGTGGGGTGGAGAGGAGACGCTCCCAGTACCATTTTGTTTCTCTCTCTCTCTCTTTTTTTTTGGTCTTTTTGAGACAGGGTCTCTCTGTAGCCCCAGCTGGCCTGGAACTCACTGTGTAGACCAGACTGTCCTTGAACTCACACAGATCTGCCTGCCTCTGCCTCCCGAGTGCTGGGATTAAAGCATCTATGCCACCATGTCTGGCTGCCGTTTTGTTTCTTACTCTCAGTATGGTGTTGGATTAATTGTACAAGACAGTGAATACTTTTGTAATATTTTATTTTTATTTTATGTATATGAGTGTATTGCCTGCATGTATGCAAGTGCACCCGTGTCGTACAGTGCCTGTGGAGGTCAGAAGAAGGTGTCAAATTCCTCTGGAACTGGAGTTATGGATGGTTGTTAACTGCCATGTGGGTGTTGGGAATTGAACCCAGGTTCTCTGCTAGAGCGGCCAGTGCTCCTAACCCCTGAGCCAACTCTCCAGCCTCTTGATTTAGTTTTTTGAGACAAGGTCTCCCCGTAGCCCCATCTGGCTTAGAACTGACTACGTAGACCTGCTTCTGCCTCCTGAGTGCTAGGATTAAAACCTATGCCACAACATACAACACTTTTATTTTTCTTTTCTTTTTTTTTTTGGGGTCTTTTTGAGACAGGGTCTCCTTGTAGCCCCCAGATGGCCTGGAACTCATTTATGTAGACCAGGCTGGCCTTGAACTCAAAGAGATTTGCCTGTCACTGCCTTCTGAGTGCTAGGATTAAAAGCATGTGCTACCACACCCAGCTTTCTACTTTCGTTTTAATACAGGGTCTTCCTGTAGTCCCAGCTGGCCTGGAACTGGCTATGTAATCCAGGCTGGCCTCCATTTCACAGAGATATGCCTGCCTCTGCTTCCCAAGTGCTAGGACTAAAGGCATTGGGACCACATCGGACTAGACACTGAACACTTTATTTTTATTTTTTTATTTTTTTTATGTGTATGTATGTATTGCCTGTATGTAGGTAAAGTGCACCCATGTTGTGCAGTGCCCTCGGAGGTGAGAAGAGGCTGTCAGATCTCCTGGAACTGGAGTTACGGACAGTTGTTAGCTGCCATGTGGGTGCTGGGATTCGAACCTGGGTCTTAATCAGTGTTCCTAACTGCTGAGCCGTCTCTCCAGCCCTGACAGTGAACACTTTAGTATGAGCTAGGCTTTCTGTTGGATGTTTCTGCCCAGTGCTGGCTGCTCAATGTTCCTAGCATGCTTCAGACTGGCCAGGAGAAGTTGAGGCACTTGGTAGGTCAGGAAGATTGAATGTAGTTTTCCTTAGAGGGATGTGAGCCCGTCCTGAGGTGAGGCATCTCTTCCTTTTTTATGCTTTTCTTTCTTTTCTCTTCCTTCCTTCCTTCCTTCCTTTCTTTCTTTCTTTCTTTCTTTCTTTTTCTTTCTTTCTTTCTCTCTCTCTTTCTTTCTTTCTTTCTCTTCTTTCTTTCCTTCCCTCCCTCCCTTCCTTCCTTCCTTCCTCTCTCTCTCTCTCTCTCTCTCTCTTTCTTTCTTTCTTTCTGCTTTCCTTTCCCTCCCTCCCTCCCTCTGTACTTTCCTTCCTTCTCTTTCTCTGTTTCTTTCTCTTTCTTTCTCTCTTTCTCTCTCTTTCTTTGGATTGAGACAGTATAGCAACCAACTACAAATCAACTCCTGATTCTCCCACTTATACTTTCCAAGTGCTTGAATTGCAGACAAGGGCCACTGCGCCCCACTTAGGGTCTCTACATAGGAACCCACCTCCTTCTCATCTTATGACCCAATATTTGTCTTCTTTTTTGCAACAGTTGGAGCCCGTGTTTCTGTCACTATTTTGTTCTGTTTTGAGACTATACATCTCACTGTAGTTTTAGCTGTCTTTCAACTCAAAATCCTCTTGTACGATCCTGTCTATCACCATGGTCTTAAGTGTTCACCCCAAGCCTGATTTCCTATCATGGTCCTTATGGAACTACTTCATCCTGGGCCTTGATCATGTCCCACTCCAGAGTCCCTTGCTGTCCTATAGGACATTGGGCCCTGAGAGGACTTGTCTGAATGCAGCTTTCTCCCGTAGCTCCAGCTGGCCTGTAACTGGCTATGTAGACCCGTGTAGACTTTTCTGTCACTCACTTCACCAGCTGTGTCTCAGACTCTGGACAGGTGACTCCACATCTCTGAGTCCTATGCTGGGCATGGGCAGTGAGTCCTAGTGGTATGGGTATTTCTTCTAGTACCTGTGTCTGCTTCTTACCTCCCCCTCCCTCCCACATCACCCTTGTTTCCATTTTCTACCAGGTCTATGTAGTCCTTGAATTCATGGTTCTCCTGCCTCAGTCTTCCCAGTGCTGGGATTATAGGTGTTTGCCATGCAAGGCTCTTTTTTTCTTTTTCTTTTTCTTTTTTTTCCCTTTTTTTCATCTTCTTTGGTTTGGTTTCTTTTTCGTGGTAATTTATTTTATGTGTATGAATGTTTTCCCAGAATGTATGTAGGTACAACACGTGTATGCATGCCCTCAGAGGCCAGAAGAGGGCTAGATTTACAGAGAGTTGTTATCCCATGTGGGTGTTGGGAACCAAACTCAGGTCCCTTGCGAGAGCAGCTAATGACCACGGACTCATCTCTTCAGCCCCTAAAATTTTTTAAGATTACATTTATTTTATTTGTTTATTACTTTTATTTTTTATGTGTATGCTTATATTGTCTGCATGTATGTAAGTGCACCTGTGTCGTGCAGTCCCTGTGGAGGACAGAAGAAGGCATCAGATCCTCTGGAAATGGAGTTAGGGACAGTTGTTAGGTGTCATGTGGGTGCTGCAGTTTGAACCTGGGTTGTCTGCAAGAACAGCCAGTGCTCTTCACTGCTGAGGCATCTCTCCAGCCCCAAATTACATTTATTTTTTTAAAATTTTATTTATTTATTTATTTATTTATTTATTTATTTATTTATTTGGTCTTTTTGAGACAGGGTCTCTCTGTAGCCCCAGCTGTCCTAGAACTTGCTATGTAGACCAAGGCTGGCCTTGAACTCAGAGATTGGCCTGCCTCTGACCGTGTGCCACCACGCCTGACTATTATTTTTATTTTATGTGTATGAATTTTATGCCTGCATGTGTGTAAGTATACCCGTGTTGTGCAGTGCCTTGGAGGTCAGAAGAGGGCATTGGATTCCCCTGGAACTGGAGTTAAGGACGGTTCTTAGCCACCATGTGGGTGCTGGGAATGGAACCTGGGTCCTCTGCAAGAGCAGTCAGTGCTCTTAACTGCTGAGCCATCTCTCCAGCCCTAAGATAACATTTATTTATTTGTGTGTGACCATGCCCATGTGTGCACTACCAGATGTATGTGGAGGTCAGAGGACATCTTGGGGAGAATTGATTCTCTACTTGAAACTCAAGTCATCAGACTTGGCAGTAAGCACCTTTACCCTCTGAGCCATCTAGCCAGCCTGAAAGAAATGTTTTTTAAATTTTTAAATTTTTAATTTTTTAAATGTTTTTTAAGTACAAACACATAGTAGTTGTACTGTTGTTCATATTTATGTCTGTGGGGACAGTGTGTATGTCAGCATAATCCATAGCCTCACACAGACACACATACTGTTTCCTTAGATCGTTCTCGACGTGGGCTGTGGCTCTGGGATCCTGTCGTTTTTCGCCGCCCAAGCTGGAGCCAGGAAAATCTATGCAGTGGAGGCCAGCACCATGGCCCAGCATGCTGAGGTCAGTGTCCCGCTGAGGATGAGACCTGCTGCCTTGCCCCTGTCCTTTCGTCTTTCATCCCTGTACTTGCTGGGAATCCCCAGGGTGTACACAACACACACGCACACACACACACATGCACGCACGCACGCTGGGTTTTTTTTTCCTTGTCTCTAAAACCATGAGGGCAGGGGCAGGAGGTTCAGTAGCTTCCCCATGGGAGTTCTGGGACACATACTTAGGCTGTCCTAACTGCTAGCCTGCCTGAGCCCCCACCTGTCTTGTGTAGGTGACAACAGGATTTCATTTTGTGTTGTCATCTCTTCCTGTGACCTCCCATTTTCTTTCTGTTCATGGAAATTTTCATTTGCAAGTACAGAACTGAAAAGCTATAGTGGGGTTAACACTGTACTTTCCTTCCCTACTCCTGACTCCCCACCACCCAGCCCCTTCACCAGAGAGACAGATTCCCTTTGGGCCTTCTACACTTTTTTGTGAATACACAAGCAGATATCTGTGTCTAATGCTCCTGTCTGTGCCCAGGACTGTGGGCCTCACTGTAAACCTCCTTCATTGTTTAGGAGCTGCAGGCCTTATTTGTTCACGTAGCCACACTCACTTAAATCTCTTATGATATGGCCTCTACCTGCTCATACACACATCCCTTTTCCCTAGCCTGCTATGTGTGAGAGTTGAGTAGTGGGGTGTCTGGCCTGCAGGGTTGGGCTCTAGCTCTGGGGTTCTTATTTTGTCCAGCAGCAGCAGGCCAGGCCCAGGAGAGCTCTGCCCCCATGCTTTGGATACCCACGGGGAAGGCAGAGGGCAACTTGAGGCCAGGGCTGGACAGAGGGCACTGGTGAGCAGAGGGTCTGATGAAGACATGTGCCAATAGGCACATGGAGCCCCAGGTGAGCCTTCCCCACCTTCCTCAGGTCCTGGTGAAGAGTAACAACCTGATGGACCGCATCGTGGTCATCCCTGGCAAGGTTGAGGAGGTCTCGCTGCCCGAGCAGGTGGACATCATCATCTCAGAGCCCATGGGCTACATGCTCTTCAATGAGCGCATGCTGGAAAGCTACCTCCATGCCAAGAAGTACCTGAAGCCTAGCGGTGAGTGTCACCACAGCCCACGGGCATGGATCGTAGCTGCACCACCCAGGCTGAGCAGTCCTGCTTATCAGTGACTTCAGTGTTCATACTGAGGGCTTCTCCCTGCTTCCTACCCCAGCCTCACCTATGGCTATGCCTTCTGGAGCCCCAGACCCTCCAGAGTACCTGGCACCTCTTCTGTGTGTCCTTCTGTCTGCCACAGGGCCACTCTTACCCAAGGTTGGGCTAGAACTCGGGTCTGTAGTTGCTGGTTCCCCAAGGGTTGTTAATCATAGAACTACAAACCTTGTCTGGGCAGGTGCTCTCACACACCTGTTCCCCTAAAAGCTAGGACAAGAGTAGATGTGCACTGAGGGTGTAAGGGTATATACATGATGGCATGGTGTGTGGGAGGGCATATGAGTGGGTGTGTACTCCTGTGAAGGTGTGTAGGTATGAGTGCATGTTTGAGGCCTTGGGCAGCTGTGTGAACATCTCATCTCTCCCCTCCTGTCCATATTTCTGACTGTCCTGACTGTGCCTCTGGATGAGAGTGTTTCTGTCTGCCAGTCTGAATCGGGGTCTGTACTCTGCCCAGAGCACCAGCAAAGCCCATTTCTCTGCTGGGTCTTGGGATATATCTGTATCTGAATAGTTCTATACAGGCAAGTAGGATACATGTGCATGAGGTTTATGGTCCCTGGCCTAGCAGCAGTCACAGATGGAGCTTGGCAAACAGGCAGTGTTGCTAGCAGCTTTGGCAAATGTGTAGCTCCTTTGGTTGGGAACCGGCTTTGGCTCTGCTCCTAGAGCCAGGAGGTAGCTACAATTCTCCAAAACTAGGTCCTATGTCCAGTGTGTGACTATCCTGGGGCTCCTTTCCTCTCCTCTGGCCCTGATGTGGGGTTAGGGGTGGCTGACCCTCATGGGATGTGTCAGGCTGGAGGCCGGCCAGTAAGGTGGCCTTCAACTCCTCAGAGGCCCCTATGAGGATTCAAGGCAGCCTTCCCCTGGCCTGCAAGAGCCAGAAGTAGGGCACCTTCCCATGTTGCCCAACCTGCCCTTTTTATCCTTATTGGCCATGGCTGAGCATTTCTAGCCTGATGAGGATTGTGAGGATTGTCTCAGGACCTCCTTCCACCCCCCAAAGGCTAGTGGGAGGCCCAAATCTGTAGGCCAGCTGTTCTCACAGCCTCCTCAGCTCAGCCTTCCCAGCTGCTAGTCTGGCCTTGTCTATCTGCTCTTAAGTCACAGAGGATCCTCCACCTCTACTTTAGCCACATGCCATGTGTCTGGGCCAGAACCTGGGCAGCCTTAGTTGGGGGGATGCAGCTGAACCCCTAAATAGGCTAGGGTCTTCCCTGGCTTTGTCTGTGTGTGTGCACAGCTGGTGGGCAGTGCCTGAGGAACACTGGCTGGCTGCAGCCTGGGTACTCCTGGGCTCCAAGAGCCTCTAGTAAGTCCCTTCCTACTCCGCAATGCTATCACTGGGTCATAGGGAGAGGCCCACCCACCTTCTGGGATCTAGTAAGGGCTGGTGTGATGAGAAAGTATACTGGACCCAAACTGGTAGTTAAATCAACCTTCGGTGAAGTGAGGCTGCTTGGTTTCACTTAGGGAATTTTTGAATTGATAATTGGCTTATGGCTAGAAGATCAACAGCATTGAAGAAAGGACCCTCTGACCTGAGTTGGCAGCTGGTTGTGGTGGCACACACCAGCACCTGGGAGGCAGAATTCAGGGGTTCAGGGCCAGCCTGGGTTACACAGCAAGAACCCCCCATCCAAAAAGACAAGCTGGGTGTGGTATTCATATCTGTAATCCTAATACTTAGGGAGGCTAAGTCAGGAGATTCAGGGGTACAGGGCTACATAGTGAGTTGCCTGGGCTAGAAAAAATAAAAATTCCTGAGCCAGGCATGGTAGCACATGCCTTTAGTCCCAGCACTGGGGAAGCAGAGGCAGGCAAATCTTTGTGAGTTAGAGGTTAGCCTGGTCTACATAGTGAGTTCGAGTCTAGCTGAGGCTACAGGGAGACCCTGTCTCAAAAAGACCAAAAAAAAGTAGAGATAGTTAGGCAATAAGGGTGTCATAGTGAGCTGGGTGTGGTGGCACATGCCTTTAATCCCAGCATTTGGGAGTTCAAGGCTAGCCTGGTCTACATAGTAAGTTCCAGGCCAGCTGGGGCTACAGGGAGACTTTGTTTCCAAAAGACCAAAATAAATAAATTAATTAATTAAATGAGTAAAAATTCCTAAAGCAAAAAATAAGTTTATGTCTGGTTGTTCTGCTCAGTGACAGAGCTCTTGCCTAGCATACTAAGTTCCATCCCCAGCACTACAAAACAGTATTGCGCCAGTTCAGATTTGCAGCGATGTGCAGGCCAAGCCTGCCAGAGCCACTGACATTACACTCCACACTGTAGCATGAATGGATGCATGAATGAACGAAAGGCGAGAAAACCATGGCTGGGGGTTTTGGGGTGCTTTGGAAGCTATATCTGGCCCTGCAGGATGTGCTGCTTTGATGCCAGCACCCTTCCTTGTCCCCCCACCTCCAGGAAACATGTTCCCTACCATTGGTGATGTCCACCTTGCACCCTTCACGGATGAGCAGCTGTACATGGAGCAGTTCACCAAGGCCAACTTCTGGTGAGTACACCCTTAGGGTCCTGCCTCCTGGGGTGGTGTCCAGCCCTTCCTCTTCCTCCTCCCCTCAAGAGGCCCTGAAAGACGAAGGCTACACCAGGCCTAGCTGGGAGAGACAGTAGGGAAGCCCCACCTGCCTCTCACTGCTGTTGACCTTGTGGGTGGGGTTGGGGGCTTTCCACAGGTACCAGCCATCTTTCCATGGAGTAGACCTGTCAGCCCTTCGAGGTGCTGCCGTGGATGAGTATTTCCGGCAGCCTGTGGTGGTGAGTAGTGTACTCAGGGCACCACCAGACTGACAGGAGGGGCTGGGCTTCATCAAGACCTCATGTAAGATCTGGAGTCTAGAAAACACAGTGCTGCTACACTCAGCTGGCTTAGCTTTGCAGAGGACTCTCAGAGATAGAGGGTAATACTGGGCACAAATCCAGTCTGCAGGGCGCCTCAGCTCAAGGAGTGATTCCCAGTTAACTCATCCCACAGAGCCATGGTGCAGAAATGAAGAGTCTGTTTAGCCATGATGCAACACACCTGTAACTCCAAATTTGGGAGGTTGCAGCAAGGGGATCCAGAGCTGCAAGCTATCCTCAGCTCTTTCTTATAAAACAGGATAAGAAATAAAATGGGGCTGGAGACATGGCTCAGCAGTTTGTGGTGTGGTGCTCTTGCAAAGGACACATCAGATGGTTCACAACTGTCTGTTAACTCCAGCTGCAGGAATCCTCTCATGTACACAGATATATACACGCATTTTTTTTTTTTTTTGGTCTTTTTTGAGACAGGTTCTCCCTGTAACTCTCGCTGTCCTTGAACTCACTATGTAGACCAGGCTGGCCTCCAACTCACAGAGATCTGCCTGCCTCTGCCTCCCAAATGCTGGGTTTAAAGGCATGTGCCACCACACCTAGCGTGCACATATTTTTAAAATTTAAAAAAAAAAAAATCTGTTAAAAAACAAGAGAGCTTGGGGGTTAGAGAGATGGCTCAGCAGTTAAGAGCAGTGGCTGCTCTTACACAGGACCCTCTGACACAGGACCCGGGTTTAAATCCCAGAACCCACAAGGTGACTAACAACCGTCCATTACTTCAATTTCAGGGGATCTGATGCCCTCTTCTGACCTCCGCAGGCATTGCGTGACATGGATGCACTTACATGCAGGCAATACACTCCTACACATAAATAAAAATATTTTTTAAAAATACTTGAGAGAGAGGGAGAGCAAGAGAGCTTGGGAAACAGAGACAGGCAAATCTCTGAGTTCAAGGCCAGCCAGGGGAACATAGTGAGACCCTATTTAAAAAAAAAATAAACCTGAGAGAAAAGTAAAAATGAAAAAATTCTGATGGGCCAGTGAAATAGCTCAGTGGTAAAGACACTGCCAAGTCTGACAACCTGAGTTTGATCCCCAGGACCCACATATAGAAGGAGAGAGCCAGCTCCAGGTTGTCCTTTGACCTCCACATGAGTACCACAGTGTACACACAGTGTTTTTATTGTCTTACCAAAGGGTTAGCACCTAGATGTGCCTATACAGATACATACTTTTTAATTTTTATTTTATGTGTGTGTTTTGCCTTCATGTATGTAAGTGCTGTATGTTCATGCCATGCCTGTAGTGGCCAGAAGAGGGCGATGGATCCCCTGGAACTGGAATTACAGATAGTTTTAGCTGCTCTGTAGGTGCTGGGAACTGAACCTGGGTCCTCTGCAAGAGCAGCCAGTGCTCTTAATTGCTGAGCCAGCTCTCCAGTTCCTGGGTCCATACTTTTTTTTTGGGGGGGGGATCTTTTTTGAGACAGGGCCTCCCTGTAGTCCCATGTGGCCTGGAACTCACTATGTAGACCAGGTGGGCCTCAAACTCACAGAGGTGCACCTGCCTTTGCCTCCCAAGAGCTGGGATTAAAGGCCAGCATACCCACACCCTGCTTAGGATGCTTTTTTTTTTTTTTTTTGAGACAGGGTCTCCCTGTGGCCCCAGCTGTCCTGGAACTCACTATGAGACCAGGCTGGCCTTGAACTCACAGAGATCCGCCTGCCTCTGCCTCCCAAGTGTTGGGATTAAAGGCGTGCACCACCACGCCTGCCTCTGCCTCCTGAATCCTGGGATTAAAGGTGTGTGCTACCACATCTGACCCCCAGATGAATTCTAATTTTTAATTGTAGTTATTGTTTTTTAATGAATTTCATTTTGGTTATCTTCGTTGCTTTCCAGGCAGTCCCACTAGGTAGTCCAGGCTGACCTTCAATTTATGATCTTCCTAATCTCAGCCTCTTTTTTTTTTTTTAATATTTTATTTATTATTTTTATTTTATGTGTAT